TCCCCCCCCCCCCCCCCCCCCTGCCCCCCCCTTCTCCCCCCGGCCCGCCCTTCTCTCCCCGGCCCGCCCTTCTCTCCCTGGCCCGCCCTTCTCTCCCTGGCAGAGCTGGGGCTGCGAAGTGTCAGGGCTCCCGCCGCCCGCCATGGCAGCAGTAGCTGTGACACCTGCCCAGCTGCCGTCCCACATCCAAGTACACTCCACTCGCCATTGTCTCAGCCCCAAATCCAGCAAGGTTATGACGTTAGGGCTTTACATTTTTGTAAGTCGCATTCATGGGGCTCATGCATTGATGGCTTTGAGAACACTGTTGGCAAAGAATTAAGAAGCACAGCTAAAAGAGTGAAGGAACTAGTGTTTTAACATGAAATAAAACCCAAAGAAAACACATCCAAATGTTTTAATTCACTCATTTGTGTTTATATTTTAGTAATAATTATTTTTAAAAATGTACTTAAATTTTGTGAATATCAGGACCAGCAGATGGGGTAGTGGTTACGTTGCTGGACTCCCACATAGTTGACTGCTGTTCGAGTCCTGGACTTGGTGGCTTAAACTCACGCCCGGCGTATGTGCATGCCTGCCCAAACTCCTGGGAGGAGAATGGAGAAGGGATTGCGGCGTGGCCATCCCCGCTGGGGGGTGATTTCTTGCTTTCTGTCTCTCTGTCTCTCTCTGTCTCTCTGGTGAGTGCATGTAAGAGAGACATTCAGCAAGTCGATTCTCTATAGCAAACTCTCTCTTAAAAAAGTATAAATTCCTATTAGCTAATAACCAACAGTCCAAAAGCACTGTATATCATTTTTTAAAGAAAGTAAAATGTGTGGATCACAACAAAGCCAGACTACAGAAAATAGTCTTTGAATAGAAAAAGTAACTGTCACTGTAAGAAATTCTGAATTATGTATTAATTGTTCCCATGAGAATAAACCATATTGTCACTGAATTAATGTGGAAGAACCAGGTTTTTCTGAGGGAGGACTCGCCGTATTCCCATTATGTCCTTAACAGAGGAAGGTAAGAGTACTGAGTATGAGGCGTGTCGTTGCGTGTGAACCTGCTGGGTTTTACTGACCTTTCAGGAAGCCTTCAGATGGTGTGTGCGTCCTTTAGACACACAGCACGACTTTACTGTCAGCGTGATTCGCGGTCGTGTTTGGGGCACAGAAGGCCGTCCGCGTCACCTGGAGCCACCACACAGCCATAGCTCGCTCTGCCAGAGGCTTCCCTGAGGGAGCGGGACGGCGCGAGGGCGGCCCTCCTCAGTCACCGTGTCTGGGCGCCAGGGCCCTGCTCCCCCTTTGACGGGGTTTGATCGGACAGGAGTGTGTGTGACACAATTCATGCAGATAGGCAAACGAAACGCTGACTTCACGGAGCTCTTCCCTAGACCTCTAGTCTGGGAGGGCTGCCGGATGCACCCCAAAGCCTGTTACAGGTAACCCTGTGTGTCACAACCCCGTCGCCCAGGTCTGGCGTCTGTGCCAGCCGACATTCGGCAGGTCGATCTGGTGCACTTCTCTTACCAGGCAAGCTGCAGGCTGCACCCGCTCCAGGCTGGCACCTACCGTAGGTCTGTTCATTCCAGGCACCTCTGGCTCTCAGCACTGCCGGCATCCTCTGGCTTTTCCAGATGTACCGTCTCACCCTGCAGCTTGGCCATTTTTGGAAAGAAAAATAAATGTGGTTGGCTAGATGGAAATGAAAAATCATATATTTTTGGGAACAAGTGCAGTCACTCCGATTCTGTAACACTATGAAGATTAAAAACTGGTTGTATATTAGGTAAATTCTGACTTGGCAGATTGCTTAGTAATTTGTCACCTAGGGTCTGGGGACGTTCGTGGTGAATGGCCTAGGGGAACAGAGTCCCCAGACTTCAATTAGCTTGGAGCTGGACCAAAATAGCAACTGCTGAAATGAGGCAAATCCGTGTGAAACAGAGTTGCTAACACAGAAATGTTCAGATGTCTCCTGCTAGTCCTCGGTAAGGGACCGAGTGCCACCAGGAGCACACATGCCACCCTGTGCTGTGGACCCCGAAAGCAGAAGGCACCACTTCTCAGCGTCACCCCATTCACCCTCCAGCACGCGCGATGAACGCCCTCCAACGTGTATGGAATTCTGTTCTGCAAATATGTCCTGGAAAGAGTTTCTTTTTGAAACAGCTTGATAATCACACAGCTTCATCACATACTGATAAAAATAAACTCTAGCTTCGAACCATCTCTCCACCTTGATGACTATAGTTTTATTCACATAACTTGTGTCTCTGGGTTTTACTGATGTTTGTGAATGCAGCCGTACAACTGTCTCACCAGGGTGCGTCTCATGTACCTAAGTGGGTAAATATGTTTATAGGTCTGGAGCGGTGAAAGGAAGAGACAATTAACAGAGAAAGAATGTAAAGTTCTCTGTTGGAAAAAAGCTGTAACTGTTGCCTTATAAAAATTTAAAAATAGTAAAAAAACACAGTTTGAGAGAAAGTGTGCAAACCTTTCATCGGTGAGTGTGACGTGCCAGCTTGGACAGCCATTGACTGGTGGTTCCTTCTGTACACCTGCAGCCTGAGACCTCGTGCAAGAGCTCCTTTCTCTAAAGCAGCCTAAGGGACCAGCAGATGGCATAATGGTTATGCTGCTGGACTCCCACATAGTTGATCACAGTTCAAGTTCCAGACCCAGCAGCTTAAAACTCAAGCCAGGCGTGTGCGTGTGCATGCCCAAAATCCTGAGAAGAGAGTAGAGAAGGGACTATGATGTGGCCATTGTCCCTGGGGGGTGATTTCTTGCTTTTTGTCTGTCTTTCTTGCGAGTGCCCAAGCCTTATAGCAAAAATCTCTCTAACAAACAAACAAACCAAAAAACAACAAACAAAAAACCAACCTGATTATTCAGGACTAAATGTGTACACACAAAAACCATTTGAAAAATAATTGACATATGAAACCAATTTTTTTTTTGAGAGGTTTTTGCTATAGGGCATGTGCACTCTCCAGAAAGAGAGAGACAGGGAGCCAGAAGATGAAAAATCACCCCCAAGGGGGGATGGCCACGCTGCAATCCCTTTTCCTCCATTCTCCTCTCGGGATCTTGGGCACGCACGCAGATGTGCCAGGCGTGAGTTTAAGCCACTGGGTCTGGGACTCGAACCACGGTCAGCTTCATGGGAGTCCAGTGTCATAGCCATTATGCTAACAGCTGGTCCCTGAAGCCAATTTTTGTGAAAATAAAAGATTCAGTTTATTTTTTCCCAGGAATAAGGAAATTTCCACCTTAAGGTAAGTAAATCAGGCAGATATCTTTTAGGAAAAACTTGGAAAAATAATGCACATTAGTAACAAAATAAACTTGTTTCTAAGTATTTTGGGCTCAGAAGACTCGTGAATACAAGCAGCCTCCTTGTGGTGGAGCAGTGGCAGGCAGCGTGCCGTGCCTGGGTTACCTGCAGGGCGCTGCTGACAGCTGTAACCTGTGCGCCCTATCTGAGCGTGCGTGTCACGTGCCACTTACTGGTCTGTGTTTGTTTGTTAGTTTTTAGCAAAGTCTCTGTCTTTTTGTATTGTATTAGCTGGCTCTTCCCTCCACCTTTAATTAGTTCATCGTGTTTCTTACATGTTTGACTTCTCGCGCCCTCGACCCTCCGTCTTGACGTGCTAACACTCTCGTGTGAGGACGGAGATAACGCCAGGTTTCTTCTGTTGTTTTATACTTTTATTTGACAAATAACTGGAGCTATTTATGAAGCATAACGCCACGTCTTGCCACATTAGCAATCTAACTCTA